TATACAAACTAGCTGTTGTTAACAAATGTATCCCCAAATGATCCAAACAATTTAGACTATTTTGTTTTTCACACACCATTACTGGAAAGGCGAATGAATGTATTGCAGGGCGCTCTCATCCATGTAATAATTCAGAGACCCAGGCTCACAGCAGCTCTGTAATCTTCAAGGTCACTACTGATTGTCTCCATGCCCACTAGCGTGAAGGGCAATAAAACAAGGAGAACTGCACATAGGGGTCCTTAGGAACCAGGAACGGAAATGGCATGCAATACTTCCTCTCACATCACACTGGCTCAAATTCAGTCACAAAGTCACAAATACCTCCAAGGGAGGCTGAGAAATAAAATTTTACTATGTACCCAGAAAGCAAACACAATTTTTGATGAACAACTAGTTGCTTCTCTCATAGTTAAGTAACTTAAACCTTTGATATTTTTTAACTTGATGAAAAATGTTTATATTTCATTAAAATCTGATCAATTATGTCATTTATAAATTAGTTATAAATTCTGGACACTTTATCCAATCTAACATTTTATGATGCATTATATCCATTTATTTAGACAAGAAAACTCAGGCTCAAGGGAGTCCTATGACTTAATCTAAGGTCACAAGTTTATCTCATCTTTAACTATAAACCTAACTTTGTACCAGAAGTTTTCAGCATCCTCAGTGAAATAGAAGAATAATAACAGAGTTGTGTCTAGTTTGAATCAAATATCTCATTCTAACTTAAGTCAAAACTTGTTGTAGAGGTAATAAATATATTACAGAAATTGAGAAAATGAGAAAGTAACCAATATTTCAGATACATAGTAGGTACTCAATTATATATTTTAAACATTATTCAGACATTTTAACAAAGATAAATCCAGTCCCATATGGTTTCAATGGTGAGGTCTTCTAAACATTTAAAGAAGAAGTAGTACCGATTATATATAATATCTTCCCAAGAATATAAAAATAGATCACTTTCCATCTCATGTTGTGAGGCCAGCATTACATCAATACTAAAAGCAGACAAAAACATTACAAGAAAACTACAGACCAGTATCCCTCATGAACACAGACACAAAAATTATCTACAAAATACAACAAATTAAATACAGAAATACATAAAAATTATGTTAGAACCAAGTGGTTGTACCCTGGAAATGCAAGGCTGGTTCAACATTCAAAAATCAATCAATATAATTCATCATATAAACAGGCTAAAAAAGAAAAACCATAAGATCTTTTCCAAAGATGCAGAAAAGGCATTTTACAAAATTCCACATCCATAGTAAAAAACCTAATAAATAACATTTTTCTAAAACACAGCAAATATCATAATTAATGGTAAAAGACTGAATGTTTTCCCCCAACCTGGGGAAAAGCAAGAATGTCCACTTGCTCCTATTCAACATCGTATCAATAAGGAAGGAAAAGAAATAGGCATATAGATTAGAATAGAAGAAATAAAATAATCACTCTTTATAAACTACATGATTATCTACTTAGAAAGTCCTTATAGAATCTAAAAAAAGGTATAGGTGGAGAACTCCTAGAATTATCAGAGAGTTACCAAATCACCAATTATAGGGTCAATATATAAAATTCAATTATTTTTCAATATACTAACAATTAACAATTGAAATTGAAGTTTAAAAAGCAATATTATTTATAATAGCCCTAAACAACGAAATATGTATTTATAAATTTAGTAAAATAGGTGCAAGATATGCATGCTGAAAACACAAAACACTGATAAAAGAAATCAAAGGGAACTTAAATTAATTAAGAGAAAAAAACAAAGCTGGAGGTATCACAATTCCAAATTTCAAGATATACTACAAAGCTGTTAGTAGTAACCAAAACAGTATGGTTCTGACACAAAAATGGACACATAAATCACTGGAACACAAAAGAGACCACTTTTTTTTTTAAGATTTTATTTATTTATTTGACAGAGAGAGACATAGTGAGAGAGGGAACACAGCAAGGGGACTGGTAGAGGGAGAAGCAGGCTTCCCGCAGAGCAGGGAGCCCGATGTGGGGCTTGATCCCAGGACCCTGGGATCATTACCCGAGCCGAAGGCAGACACTTAATGACTGAGCCACCCAAAAGAGGCGCCCCAAAAGAGACCACTCTCATATGGTCAGTTAACCTACAACAAAGGAGGCAAGAATATACAATGGGGAAAGACAGTCTCTTCAATAAATGTTTCTGGGAAAACTGGACAGCTACATGCAAAAGAATGAAAGTAGACCACTTTCCAACACCACACACAAGAATAAACTCAAAATAGATTAAAGACCTAAATGTGAAACCTGAAACCATAAAAATCCTAGAAGAGAACACAGGCAGTTATTTCTCTGACATCGGCCACAGCAACATTTTTCTAGATATGTCTCCTAAGGCAAGAGAAACAAAAGAATAAATTAACTATTGTGACTACACCAAAATTAATAGCTTTTGCACAACAAAGGAAACCATCAACAAAACAAATTTACAAGCTAATGAATAGGAGAAGATATTTGCAAATGATATATCTGATAAGGGGTTATTATCTAAAATATATAAAGAACTCATACAACTCAACACCAAAAAAACCAATCTGATTAAAAAATGGGCAGAGGATCCGAACAGACATTTTTCCACAGAAGACATACAGATGACTAGAGACACATGAAAAGATGCTCAACATGACTAATCATCAGGGAAATGTAAATCAAAATCACAATGAGATATCACTCCACACCAGTAAGAATGGCTAAAATCAAAAAGACAAGAAATAATAAGTGTTGGCAAGGATGTGGAAAAAAAGGAACCCTCATGTACTTTTGGTGGGAATGTAAATCGGTACAGCCACTGTGGAAAACAATATGGAGGTTCCTCAAAAAATTAAAAACAGAAATACCATATGATCCAATAATTTCACTACTGAGTATTTACCCCCCAAAATGAAAACACTAGTTCAAAAAGATATATGCACCCCTATGTTTATTGCAGCATTATCTACAATAGCCAAGATATGTGTCCATCAATGGACAAATGGATAAGGAAAATGTGTGTACACACACACACACACACACACACAGGAATATTATACAGCTATAAGAAAGGATGAGATCATACATACCATTTTCGACAACATGGATTAACCTAGAGGGTATTATGTTAAGTGAAATAAGTCAGACTGAGTAAGACAAATACCATACAATTTCACTCTTGTGTGGGATCTAAAAAACAAGACAAATGAATAAACAAACAAACGGCAGAATCAGACCTATAAGTATAGAGAATAATTTGATGGTTGCCAGAAGGAAGGGGGTAAGGGTAAAACGGGTAAAGGGGACTGGGAGATACAGGCTTCCAGTAACAGAATAAATAAGTCCTGGGAATAAAAAGCACACCATAGGGAATATAGTCAATGATACTGTAATAGTATTGTATGGTGACAGATGGTACCTACACTTGTGGTGACCACAGCATAATGTATAGAGAAGTTGAATCACTATGTTGTACACCTGAAATTTTTTTTAACTTAAATTCAATTAGCCAACATATAGTACACCCATTTGTTTCAGATGTAGTGTTTAATAATCTATCAGTTGCATATAATACCAGTGCTCATCACATCATGTGCGCTCCTTAAAGCCCATCACCCAGTTACCCCTTCCCCTCACCCACTTCCCCTCGAGGAACCCTCAGTTGGTTTCCTATAGTTAAGGGTCTCTCATGTTTTTCTCCCTCTCTGATGATTTCCCATTCAGTTTTCCCTCTCTTCCCCTATGATCCTCTGTGCTGTTTCTTATATTCCACATATGGGTGATACTATATAATAATTGTCTTCCTCTGATTGACTTATTTTGCTCAGCATAATACCCTCCAGTTCCTTCCATGTTGATGTACATGGTAAGTATACCTGAAATTAATGTAATATTGGGTGTCAACTATACACAAAAACTTTTTTTTAAATATAAATGTGTTCATGGGTTAAAAGACTTTATATTATAAAGACATCAAAATACTCCAAATAGATAATAAATTCAATGCAATCCCAGTTAAAAAAACCCAGCATGATTTTTTTTTTGTCAACAAACTAATACTAAATTTTATTTTAGATATTTATTTATTTGTTTATTTATTTAGAGAGAATGAATGGTGGAAGGGGCAGAGGGAGAGGGAGAGAGAGTCTCAAGCAGACTCTGTGCTGAGCATGGAGCCTGACATGGGGCTCAATCTCACGACCCTGAGATCATGACATGAGCTGAAACCAAGAGTCAGATGCTTAAACGACTGAGCCACCCAGGTGCCCCTAATTCTAAAATTTATATGTAAATACAAAATTAGAATTGCCAAAACAATTTTGAAGAAAAACAATAAATATCTCAATATTTAATTTCAAAGCTTAATATAAAGCTACACTAATTAAACAGTGTAGTATTAGAGAAAATAGTGACACACAGATCAATGGAATAAAGTCCAGAAGTAGATCAACACATATATGGCTAATTTATATTTTACAAATATTTAAGGGCAATTCTATAGAGAAATGATAGTCTTTCAACACATGGCTCTGAAACAACTGGACATTTATCTATTTATCTACACTTCAACTTATATTTTTTACCCTTCACAAAAATTAATTCAAAATGGATAATAAACCTACATGTAAAATGTAAAACTATAAAATTTCTAGAAGAAAACATAAGAGAAAATATGCATCATTTTATGCTAGGCAAAAAGATTTTAGATCCAACACCAAAAGCATGACCCCTAAATAAAATAATTAATAAATTAGACTTTGTTGAAATCGAAAACATATGCTCTGCCAAAGATACTCTTAAGAGAGTGAAGAGACAAGCCATACACTAGGAGGAAACATTTGCAAATCACATATCTCACAAAGGGTTTATATCCAGAATATAGGGAGAACTCTCAAAACTCAATAATAGGAAATTAAATAACCCAATTTTTTAAAAGATTTTTTTAATTTTTTAAGTAATCTGTACACCCAATGTAGGGTTTGAACCTATAACCCCAAGATCAAAAGTCACACGCTCTACCAGCTGAGCCAACCAGGTTCAAACAACCCAATTTTTAATAAATGAGCAAAATATTTGAACAGAAATGTCTTCACCAAAGAAAATATAGGGATGTCAGGGCGCCTGGGTGTCTCAGTTGTTAAGCATCTGCCTTCAGCTCAAATCATGATCCCAGGGTCCTGGGATCGAGCCCCACATTGGGCTCCCTGCTCGGCAGGAAGCCTGCTTCTCCCTCTCCCACTCCCCCTGCTTGTGTTCCCTCTCTCGCTGTGTCTCTGTCAAGTAGATAAAATAAAATCTTTAAAAAATATATAGGGATGCCAAATAAGTAGATGAAAAAAGGCCCAGAATCATTAGTTATTAGGGAAATGTAAATTACCTCAGTGAGTTACCACTACATATACATACCACTACATACCTATTAACATAGCTAAAGTCAGAAAAGCTGATAATATTAATCACTGTGAAGGAGTGGGCAACTGCAATTCTCATACACTGCTGGTGAGAATACAAAATGGCACAGTGCCTTTAGAAAATGGTTTGGCATTTTCTTAAAAGGTAAACATAAACTCACCATATGCTCTGCTAATGTAATCAATCCTAATTATTCACATCTGTATTTGAGTTTGCCCACTACCTGAAATTTATTTATAACCCCAAATCAATACTTCATATATATATATTTTTTCTTTTTTATTTGACAGAGAGAAAGAACAGAAGCAGGGGGAGTGGGAGAGGGAGAAGCAGGCTTCCTGCCGAGCAGGTAGCCCAATGCGGGGCTTGATCCTAGGACCTTGGGATCATGACCCGAGCCAAAGGCAGATGTGTAACCGACTGAACCACCCAGGCGCCCCCCACAAATCAATACTTGTGGGACTTTTGCAGCCATTCAATGGCATGTGCAGAACAATGAAAAGCTAGACTAAGCCAACATTCATGTGCCTCGCTGAGAATGAACAAGGCAATGCTCTTGATTCTTGTTTTAACTCTCATATTGTAAGTAAGTGTCCTTTTTCTTGGTTTATCTAGTTGTGCATTTTTTTTTCAGTGAGGTGTTTTTTTGTGGGTTTTTTTTTGCATTTTTGTGCTTTTTGTTGGTGATTCTGCTGTTTAAAATGGCATCCAAGTGTGTAATGCTTAAGTGCTGTTTAGTATTTTCAAACACAAGAAAGCTGTGATGTGCCTTATGGAGAAAATATGTATGTTAGATCAGTTTCATTCAACCATGAGTTACAATGCTGTTGGCTGTGAGTTCAAGGTTAATTAATCAACAATATATATGAAATAAGGTGTTTTTAAACAGAAAACACACATATAACAAGGTTATGTATTGATCAGTTGACAAAACTGTCATTGTGGCCAGAGGCTCACAGGAACGTAACTCTGCATTTCCCCTAGGAGCAATGTCTCATTACTCGCTAATTCAATGTTCAAGGTGACTTTATAGAACATTACTACCACAAATAATGAGAATTGATTGTGACACTCCTAGGTATTTTCCCAAGATAAATGAACACTCGGGTTTAAACAAAACATCCACATTTAAGTTTTATAACAGCTTTTTTCATAACTGTCCCAAACTAGAAATTACCTATATTACTATTCTGTTATTGACATAACAAACTACCACAAAAATAGCTAACTAAGCAACACAAATTTATCACCTCACAGTTTCCATAGGTCAGATGCCCAGCAGATTCCGCTTAGTTTCTGCTTAGAATCTTAGAATCTCACAAGGCTAAAATCAAGGTGTTGATAAAGCTAAGTTCCTTTCTGAGGATTCTAGGGGAAAATACGTTTATTTGTTTATTTAAGTTGTCAGAAGAATTCAATTCATTGCAGTTGTAGGACTGAGATTCCTGGGGTTTTTTGATGATTATTAGCTGAGGGCTATTATCACCTTTTAGGGTTAGCTCACATCTCCCTTCCTCTATCTTCAAAGCCAACAACAGCAAGCCAAATTCTTCTCACCTCATATCTGTTTGACTCTTCTGCCTTCCTCATTTACTTTTAAGGACCTGTGATTACATTAGACTCACAAGGAGAGTCTTCTTGTTTTAAAGTCAGCTAATTATCAATCTTAACTCCATCTGCAATCTATAGCAATAATTCCATCTACAAATATTCCCTTTTGCCATGTAATATATTCACCACTTAACACCAGGGGGCAAAGCTCAGGGGAGCCCAAATCCTGCCTACCACACTAACCAAATGTCCTCCAACTAGTGAATAAATAAACTATGGTACATTCATACAGTGGAACACTGCTCAAGAATAGAAAGGAAAAAGCTATTGATACACTCAACAATATGGATGAATTTCAAATGCATTATGCTAAGTGAAAGAAGGCAGATTCAAAAAGGTTACACACTGTATGTGCCTATTTACATAGAAAGCTAAAAAATAGATCAGTGGTTGCCTGGGTTAGGGGTAAGTAGAGGGTTTGATTACAAAGGGACAGCATGAGGGAGTTTTTGGAGGGAAATGTTAAGTATCTTGACTATGGTTTGGTCAAAACTCAAAGAAATGTAAACCAAAAGAATAAATGTTTCTGCATGCAAAGTTAAAAATAAATTTTAATAATTATTCTGTTTGGGCACCTGGGTGGCTCAGTTGGTTAGGTGTTTGACACTTGATCTCAGCTCAGATCTTTATCTCAGGGATGTAAGTTCAAGTCTCGTGTTGGGCTCCGTATTAGGCATGGATTCTACTTAATAATTATTCTGTTTGGTTACTGATACTCTGCCTTTGTTTTCAAAGTCCTTACATTTGACTTAGTAGGTACAACACCAGTACAAAGACATGTAATATAAGAGAGTAAGTTTCATCAGTAGAAAGATGGTTTTTTCCTGGCTTAGAGACAAATGATACTAGAAGGAGAAAGGCCACTTGTCCTGTTTCTTTTTCTATTCACAGGACCCACATTCTTTACCAAATGCCTCAGACCAGTTCCATCCAACTGTTCTCATCCTAATGTCAAGGTCATGCAAAGAATCTGCATAATTCTAATCAACTTTGGTTTCCACAGGTTTCCTTCTTTTCAAGCCATAGAACACTTACCTGTACTTGACCAGGAATAACCCTTGGTAGCCAGGCTCCAAGTAATCTCTAAAGTCAAAAAGAATATGTGGTGAAAGTAGCCTATTTTGACAGTAGGTGAAATTCACAGCCACCAAGAACCTTTCTGAAAATTACTCTGACGTTTCTTCTAAAAAGAAAAAGGTCATTGAGATAATTTTTGAAATCATTTCTGAAAATTCCCACGCTAGTCTCTCTCCAGGTTTGTAACTGGTAGTGTGGCTACAGAGGAGCAGGAGTGGTCAGATTTGAGGCAGGGATTAAATGAAATTCCTATGATGTGACACCACAGTTGACTCCTCAAATTCTCACCAGCCATGGAGGGCACCACTATCCGGACAGCACAAATCTCCATGTGGATAGCGGTTGTGATGTTTGCTGGCAACAAGATTTCTAGTCTCAGGCCATCATTCTGTATCATGCTTGACTTAATGAGGGGAAGAGAGAGATAAAGAAAATAAAAGATCAGCTACAAGTCTCCATGACTGAAATGCCTTCATTATTATTTTGTCCTCACAAAGAACGAAAGCTGAAATGAAGTTTTGGGGTTACAGTAGTCCCATATATATATATGGCTGCCAGAGGGAATTGATCTGAAACCTCCTAAACCTTGATTAGAATTTCCCTCCATTCAAGCTTTATTAACTCATTCTAAAACTTCCAATATTTTCTGTAGAATTCTCCGCATATACATACAGAGACAGAAGACAGAGATGATGAGTTTGTAATTGTCAGTTTCTTCAAAATTTGCAAAAAGGCTAATACAGTGGGAGTTTTATAGATCCAGACTGGTCCTCAGCTTCCACATTCCCTCTCATTCTCATATCAGAAACCAAAATCTCTGCTGAGATATAGTCATTAACTAGCTCTAGCATCATTCTCTGGGAGTCAGCATCATGATCCTTGTTCTAAAATAACAATGCAGGATCTCAGTTCTGATAACTGTGTTTCTTTCTTGTTCCTAAGCATCATTTTAGTTTGTATGCTTCCATTTCTTATGTCTGTTTTTCTAGCTTGGTTGCTGTTCCTGAATTCCCCTTCTGGTAATACACTAATCCATACACTAATCACTTATATTAAGGTAAGGGTAATTTCCCTAAGTGCCAGGTTGGCATTTAAAGAGCCTTTTACACAGTGATAGATTTTTTGGGTGCTTGTTGCAAGGACTTCCTGATAGTGCTCTCCCTTGCTAGATTTTCATTTCCAAATCTCACCCTCCCTCCCAATGTAATATCCCTCTTCTTCATTTTGCTCCCTTTTCCATTTCCCATTCCAACTGTCTGCCTGCAGTTTATCATTACCATTAGATCTTGGTAAAGAGGAGATTAGGGCAGTTTGGTCTTTGCATTGGCTGGGGACCAATGGGATATAATGAACCCAGTAAGATCACTACCAGAATGAGGACGGGGCTCTATGTGGTGAGTCTGGATGAGACTATGACCAAAGGGAACACAGTTGAGATGGCACTGAGTAGTGAGGTCTTGGGTAAGCTCCCCTCCCCCCTCTGAAGAAATTAATATAATTTCATTTCCCTATCCCTTTCCCTCCAAGTCTTCCCAATCTCTCTACTTAAACAATTCCATTTGTTCCACTACCAAAAAAAAAAAAAAGTAAAAGAAGCATTATAGAATTGCATTTTTTCTTACAGATCCACTTTTACTAGGTAAGCTCAAGAAGCTCAGAAAGGGAATATGCTCAATTTAAATTCTGTGATGGGCACAAACTTTGCCTCCTATGTAGGATTAACCTTCACCTTGCACCTGCAAATGTATCACACTTGCCCCAAGACGTAAGTAGGTACCAAAATAAATCATAGAAAACTAAGATGGAGGCGCCTGGGTGGCTCAGTTGTTAAGCATCTGCCTTCGGCTCAGGTCATGATCCCAGGGTCCTGGGATCGAGCCCCACATCGGGCTCCCTGCTAGGCTGGGAGCCTGTTTCTCCCTCTCCCACTCCCCCTG